AGTCTTAAGAAACAACAAAGCGCGAAAAGAACCTACATTAAAACACTGCTTAGATAGCATACCTTTCTTTAATCGAGGGAAACATTGTATTGTTCTACCTATTTACACTCCAATTAAAATTACTTAGGATTTTGCAAACCGAAACTTGTAAAGTGCACTTCCAACAAAAAATCCACTTGAAAGGGGTTTCGTCAGGGCGCTCTTGAACTATTGTCAGCACAATCTTATATCACAAAGTGGTAGCCAAGATTTCCAAATCCCCAAAACGCTCAACCAATGTGGCGGTCAAGGTTTGGTTAAAGTATATTTACTCCCCCCGTATCTTTTGGCTCACATAATAAAAGTTGTACTGTGCGAGTTAAGTAACGCCTACATAAACAACTTTTGACCGTTGTAACAGCATTTAAGATGAAACGGAGAGTTTCATCGAGGGACAGAATAAGCATGTCTGTGATTACGATTTCCCCTCCTGTATGCAATGGGTCGTTCCTCCCATTAAAGTGTGGTCTTAGAGGCATACAACGCCCGTCTCAAAAAGCCTTTGGTGGTTAACTTGGTGTAATTAGGGAGGGATTCAGGGGGATGGTTATGTGGTTAAAATTGACCTACATTTTTGAATATCAACAGGACTACACAATACACACTATTGTGGAAACTAAAAAGCCAAACTTTTACAAATGACGGACAATGTAAAAACAGTGGAGTTGAGTGAGTGTGCTACAGTGGAGGAGTTGGGGAATGAAAAAGCAAAATAGTTGAATTAGATGCAATTGTGGAGCTAAGATAATCAGTTCGTATACTAAACATACTTTTAGGTGGTCTTGTACTTTGACATTTTATCTCATTTACCTTTTACTGAACCTTTCTTCTAGCAGATGGTAGGAGTTTAAGCTGCACCGTAAAATATCTGACAAGCATGGAAGCTTGACTTTACTCCATGCGACTCTTTCTCAAAGTAGAACAAAGTAGATTAACAACAAGTCAGTTAAGGGACTCGGACAGCAGCAACTTCATATGATATCTGGAATTATTTGATACGAATGGGGAGCAGACACTTGCTGATTCCCACCCCAAATGTCCTTATATAGACGACGGAATTTTAATTAGTTAATGCCTCTTAAGCATCCTCCGTCAAGGCTAACAAGACAACCCTGCTCGTTCAAATCCCTTGCTTTATTTCATATCCCAAATAGCTTTTACGATTACACTTTCGTAGCCATTTGGAGTCACGAAGAAAACGAGGTTCAAGGACAGGTAATTTTCGAAACGCTAACAGAACATATTTGCTTTCGTAATAGCACTCGTTTATGACACCGTGCATTCAAGCAGTTCTTTATATCAGCTTAAGCATATTGGGAATCATCCTGCCTCAGACGGCCAGAGTGGATGCGTACGAGGAGAGTACAACCTCCTAGGCGACTTTCTCAGTTTCCTTTGATTTTGTTTTTAAAGGGTGGGCTAACACTCTGTGTTGTACTGTTGTAAGGATTGGTTATAAGCTCATAGCTAGAATTAAAGAATCTGACAGAAAAAAATGTGTCTCCTTTTTCAGAGATACGGGTTGGAATTACGAAACAAATTTATTGGATGATGTAGCAGATGTCAACAACATCTGCTGGCAAGCAAAAGGAAATCATCCATTAGAGTAAATACCAAATTACAAATGTTTAAACACATTTGGAAAGAATGAGGAGAGTTAATTGAAGTCTACGTTGTGTAGTGCAGAGCGCTGTCTTTAAGAACTTACTGTGCAGGACTAAGGCATTTCAAAGTGGAGGGGAGGGGATGTGCAGGTTAGCAGAATGAAATTGACTCGAACTACGAGGTTAAGCCTATTAATATGAAAAAATTTAAGCATCTCCACACGAAACAGGACTCATAAATTTATTTGAAGTAAAAGTAACTGCATTCAATAAAGTAGCATAACTACCTTTAACATACTTTTTATAGCTACAATGAGGTTTTAGACTTTTGCATCAGTTGTGTCACAGTATGCCTTATAGTAAAGCAAAAGGCATGCTGAAAAGATCACACTTGGCCAAAAACATTTAAACTAAATTGATGCGACGGAGTAAATGGTAATAAACTGCGTCTAGATTTGTCAAAGCCCCAGCATCACTGCAAATTTTAATTTCAACTAAGAGGAGCATTAAAGAACTGAAAAGAGTCGACAGTGGTAATTTCGATTTGCTTTTGCAAGTACAATTTCCACTGAGGAAGGATTGGTGCATGGGTAAATTCCGTGCACTCGGTAACTGACCCTGAGCAAACAATAACAATGCAAATTAAACCTACGATATGTTTGCACTATAAAATCTGACTTGTTTAATAGTTTGACATGCCCTAAAGCATGGGACCAACTCCACTAGAAGTCTAACACCTTCAACATGCCTGTGGTACCTTGTGTCCATGTAGGCAGATGTACGAAAATGGCATGTAAATCGAGAGCAGCTGCACACCCCAAAAACATAATGCATCTTGTTTACTATGCAGTTAGTGCTAACAAATCTAAACTGTGCCATGCAAACATCCAATAAGTCAGGCGGAAAGCGTTTTTAGGACATCTGTAAGACACTCAAGACTACTCTTCCTGCTGTAGTGTTGTCGAAAGCTCAGGTCTATAAAATCAAATTATGTTTGCATTTTCTGAATTATTTCCTAAAAAATGGCCAAAATTGTTTTCTCTTACCTTCCGAACTTTTAAAAAATACCGCATAATCACATATGAAGGTGTTCTCCTGTAAGGTAAGAGGCTTTGCCATAATTAAGCTTCTGAATAAAGACTCATGATGCGCACAGCAGACATCTCCCAACCCTCTTCCCAAACAAAATAAGGACTACCAACAACACATTGTCTTTATAAATGAGTTAGAATAGAAGGAGACATGATAGGCAATTTAAATGTATATTATTGCCGATGGTAAGGTTTCTTCAGCCCACCCGAGGTGAAGAAAATTTCTTTGCCTGGTGTGTTCTTGGTAAGGCCGAGACCGAGAAGAAAGCGCTTCTGAATCTGATCGTGCTGTCGGCTGACATTATCAATGTAATCACCATACGTGTCAAGACTGTCGTATACGCTCCAGTGAGGGTAGGCGCCGGTTGATGTAATAAGAGTCGTCGCCACAAAAGTAAAGAAAATTGAACTGAGCAAATTCATTTGAATGAATCGTAATAGGTTGAAGGGATCTGGAGAAAAACGGCAGGTATTTAAGAAAGGCAAGTAAGAGGGTCTATTTCCCCAATAATTTTGACCTGCTAGGGAAGTGATAAATGAAATATATGCACTGTTTTCCAGCGAATAAAGCTTTAGGCACACTGCAGTGGCGCAGCTCCTTAGCCAAACAGTAACGCAAGAACAACTCCACCACACCAATGTTAAAGTGTCACTTGAAATGTTGACAGGAAAACTTGGCTATCAAATGGAATAAGATGCCCCTTCTGTACTATCCACCGAAAATGCTATTTGTGAGATAGTTTTGATGCAGCCACTCTTCACACAGAAAAACTTGACAACAAATGCACCTCAAGCCAAAGAAGAATTGCGACCCAGAGTTACTATTACAGCTTTCCATCGAACAAATCTAAAAGAAGCTTTATTTTATGATTCGAAATTGACAGATATAAGTGTAGAATACAGGATTAACGTGGCTTACTTTTACTGCACTTTCATGCCAGCAGCGACAAAAGTGAATCCTGAAGTGTGTGTGCGTGTGTGATCTGAGTACAAAGTGCTGTTTTAAACCCAACACACTAGTCAAGAAGCAAACTCTGACATTTCTCACGATTCAATTGAGTATGTCTTAACAGTGTAGACTTTTGGTCACGTTAATTCTGCTAAATCTGTCTAAGATTCTGAACTTCAGCTCGGAGGAAGCAAACGCAATTACATTCGCAACTGTTTTCGTAAACTTTTATGAGAACATATGGTTTCCTCAATGTACTCGCTTATCTATTACACAGTTCGCAGCGTCATTCATCACTCTTTCAAAGAATAGAACCAACAGGCTAGGAAATTAATGCAATGTTCCACTAGCAAGTTAGGAGTGAATTTAGACCTACAGACCGAATGCATTAGCAATGTCGCCATGTCAAAGGCTATGCTATTCAACGCCTTATTTGATATTCCAGCGAAATTAAGTACATTCAAAACGATTCAGCAAACGTGATCAAGAAGGAGGAATGACGGTTTATTGTCCTTTCCACGACACTACATCATTTTAAACCAAACTAACCTGCGGCAAGGATTAGTTATGTGACTATGCTTTAAATTTCAACCCCTTTTGTATACGAAAAAGACGAGGACAAGCCAATAGGATGGAAAGCTTATTTCCGGCCAATCATTTTAAGGGAATCCGTCGTTTGGGTATGGTATGCACTAAGAGGTAAATAAATCAAAAGGAAATAATTAGTGAACATAGGTTGATACAGAAGTACAAAATTTAAATAGCGCAATGATTTACACTACAAACACCTTATCAAACAATTTCTTCTGATGCAATTCTCTTAATGATTAAGAGCAAGATTGCCATAAATAAATATGTGTAACTCACATTTCTTTAAGTTTATTTTTGCCTTAAGTGAAGGAGAGGTAAGGAGTAATCACAGTCAGCCCGTGTCTTAGAATGTTTTAAATGTCCCTTCTTTGAACTTCTAGTCTTACAATTAAGGGGGGAGATTTCGCCAAAGTTGAGGCGACGTTCCATCATGCAAAAAGCAAAAGTGATGACCCTAAGTATAACATAAAATTGCCTCCATGTTTCCTCAGGCCGGGGATCCAAGAGAGCGTGAGGCCATTAGAAGTAGCGGTTGTAAATGCATGCGCACATAATAATATACAGAAGTGCTCACAGTTAATACGGTTCTGCGTAGTCTACTAACTTAGTTGAATGATGCATTCCTCGCGGTCGGCCAGCAATGAATCGAAAGAAAATATTTAAAAATTCAAAAGGAATGGTATCGAACCAAAGTACGATTCATGGTCTTATTTATATGCCTGAAACTGCGCCTTACAAACTCAAAAGTTTGTCATTCATACAGCTTGGAGACAATCTTAGCAGGCGCAAACATCTAACTACCATGTGCTAAGGATAGCAAAACGTACAACGAACATGAACACCATCGACACGCCAACTTTTAAGATGTCAAGGCTGGTTTAAATAAAGTATTCAAATAATGATAGTAATCTATTAGGCCTACTAATGGGATGGTTAACAAACTTGTGACCCGCTTGCCAAGAGAAGGCGGTATTGGAAGTAAGCATAAGTGGGCGCAGCACACTTTGCGTAAGCAAAGTCGACAAAATCTAGGTTTAAGCGCCTCGACATATATGTGAATTCTTTCAAACCAGTCTATCGAAGAGGATGGATTTCGGGTAAGATTATTTAGTCATGAGGTCATCGCCATAAGCAAAGAAAGACTTCGGGTGCAAAGCTGCCTACTGTCTATCATAAGTAATCCGCCTAAAACGCTCATAACAATAGTGCTAATAGTATGAACCATAGGCGATGAGGAAAAGGAAAATCGTTGAACTTTTCTCCAGAGTGTTTTCTTAACTATAGAGGACTACAAAGAGCCTTGCAGCAAAAAAACGCTGCATGTAGTTAAATCCATTATTCCAAAACCACATGGTTTAATGGTCGCCACCTCGTCGTTTAGCCTGTGACCTTCGGAGGTCACCAAAAGCATCAAACCAGCACTAATGATTCGGGTGTTTATTTTAATTGCCCAAAAAACTTACCTTGCAGCTCCACATTTTGTTACAATTGTAAAAGTTCACATTGTCTACAAATTATTTTACTTTATCAAACATGCAGTTTCATTTGACAAGGCAATCTAATGTGCTTTTCTCTGCAGTGGCATCGTAAACCTTCATCTACCTTTTGTTATAGGTTCCTGTCACTTACTGATAATTTTTGCTACAAGAGCCTGTATAATTATTTTTATTATTATATTTTTGCTTTTGTCGCTCAAAGATCCAATTTTGAGCGCAGACACGATTTTAGGTAAAGAGTATCTTAGTCTTCACGTCTTCGTAAACGTAATTTCAGACATTGGGGTGCATAATTTGATTCGCTTGTGTATGGCGGCAGGAAATCTGTCCATTTTTCGTAAATGAGTGTTTGGGACATAAGGCAAACCTGAAATTGCCTGGAATAACTGAGAACATTTTAGATTTGCGTTACGTAAGTTTAAAAGAACGGTTAATGGTTGTGAGGAGAATTGCGTGGAAGGATTGGGCCTCTACTACGGTTGAGGCAAGCGTACTTGACTCAATTGTTAGATGTCTGAAAATGTGGATCCCGTTTGGGTGTGACATCACACATCCATGAAGTTAAGCGTTTTTAAGCCCAAAACACGCTGTTATGGAATAAAATTGAAAGCAGCTACAATGGATGATGGTCTTGGCAAGCAAGTAGCAGACTGAAATTTGAAATACCGTAGTTAATGTTGACGGGATAAATATGTGAGACCATCTCACTTTACATTTTATAAATTTAATCATTTTGCTACCTTTTGGAAATGAGTAGCAGAGGTTCCTACCCTCTTTTAGCGAAGGTCTTAGCAAATACTTTAGAACATTTGCATCTCCACTTTGCAGAAATGAAGTGTTGGAAGTGCCGCAAGTATAAGGAAGCATTTTTGAGAGTTTGTTTGCTTGTCGACACAGCGATCGTCAACAAATGAGGAAATACCCTATTCGTGACGCAAGAACTGATGCGCGGAAAAGCAAACAATTCGGCACATTGCTGGACTGGCAATCAGTTTTAGCTAAAATCCCTTAATGTGCTTGCGTAAACTAAACCTCCTCTTTTTCTAGCAAATGACAAAAGTTTCTCTGCTGATTATTTTTACCATTAGCATTAAATAGAAGCTCAAGCCATACAGCTGGCTTACTTTCCGTAGCCAGTTAGCAGTTAAAGAATCAACTTGTGATTTATTTAGGCAAATGATTGAAGGTGGGATTAATGTCAGCCTACCACTGATGGTTTTCACAAGGCATTTGATACAAGAGGAAGGCTTTAACTTCGAAGGCGGATGTATGCGGTAAGCCACGAAACTCGAAATTTGAAAACAAATCCGGTGCTAGTTGTGGATGCCAATGCTCCACCTCATTGAGACGGCATATTTCTGACTTATGAACGGTAAACTCAGACTATGCTAATTAAATGACTACCCTTTATTTACTGGCCAAAAGGCGGAAATTGAGAGTAACTGATAAAGAACCTTCCGCCTTCGGATATACACACTGTAATGGTAAAAATTTTTTTGGGCATTAATATGAAGCCTATATTGTGGACGTCTTTAGACAGCAGCCCAAAATGTGATCAAATAACACGCATTTTAGTTAACGGCTATCGCGGATTGCACGATTGTGACGGAAAATAAGAGGACTTGTTAAAACACTGACAGTGACAGCCTTATTCGTGCGTAAAAGCCTTTGAACTCTTATAGTTAATAAATGTCGTTGCCGAAACTGTCTCCGCACGAAGACGCATTAAGTTGTCAGTGAACTAGGCAGGGGAGTACATTTCTAGATAAGTTACGAGTACTAGTAGCCTATCAGCCGAAATCTTCGATGAGACGATCAGACAAGGTCTTTGAAAGTGAGCCGACGCTTGATGCCTTTGAAACGGACTCAAAACCTTTAAATTATGCAAAGGCAAAATGAGTTCTTTAGCTAGGTTTAATGGTGCGTTGAGTTGCTACAAAGAAATAAAAAAATAATAAAATTCGGAAATAACGCCATTTTTAAACTCCTGAAGCCACTTTAAAATAATTACTTGAACAAATAACATTTTGCTTTAGGACTCTATATTACTGGGAAACTCAACTGCAGTCACATTTATTGGTAGCTGGTGCTAAATTTATTCCCACAAGTCCCAAAGTGCACACTTCAGTTTTGGGATGAATGCATTAGCTAATTAGAATTTTGGCATCCATCAGGCAGAACTTAGCTAATTGTAGTTACTGTGTGCTTAGAAATTCGAACGCGTTATATTTACTAGGTATGAAGGAGGGAATCACATCCACAGTTCAACCCATTGATTACAGCCACATGCATTACTTATTATCAAACTATCAAAAACGTCTACAGGAGTGAAGGATTGAGTGCATAACCACAGGAATAAAAAAGGCTCTGGTTTTCCACAACCGTGGTCTCCTTGATATGGAGGTGGCACAGTGGCGTTCGATGTCATACGCGCCTGCATGTAGCCCCACCCTGTCAGTGGGGAAGACAGTCCGCGGACATCGATTTCTGCCACGGACTGCACCCTCTCTGATTGGTTGGAATTCGCACGCTTGATAGAACGCAGATCAGTGCTTTCGTTGATACCTGCTTTATCAAATACTCTCTTAGGCACATTAAGCGGTGAAGCTAAATAACGGAGAAAAAATTTTGGTAAGTGGGATCTGTTGTTTATCGCAAAAGGATGCGAAGACGAAAGAAGGGCGGAACAAAGCGTATAGATTCACGAAGTTACTTGGTGCCAAGCCTACGTGACTGGGAAGCAAAAAGAAGGTGTGAGGTTCTATGAGGCTTTTTGCGGTATGTTGAATTTGACGGGTCTCCATTTGGGTCTGCTGACTGATTGGGTAGCAGGTGAGGAGGTAGATGTTGATGCGCCAGCTGAACTATTTGCAGAAGTCCCTGACCATTGTGAAGGCGTTGGAGTTTGTCCTAAGGTTTAACAAAGCTAAGTAACTTTTATCGAGAGTGAAGAAATACCAGTAAAAATAACCATATATTTGTCCACATTAACAGTTTGAATTAAGCAGGAAAAGCATCAACTTAACCGAAGTACGAGAATTTTGACTCGGCACTAAAACCCCACCATAAAGCGGTGATTGCAAGTATTAGTATGCACGTCACCATCGTCTACACTGAAGAGATGTTGCCACATTCGTGAAGATATGTATGCATTAGTTTCCAGAACTTGGGGGTAATCTGTAAGCAAGGCACTTAGTTGGAGACATCGCAACTGCAAGAATATGATGCTACGCTGCATTTCCATGTAAGTTAAGTGGTTTGGTATGTCTCAAAACAATTTTGGAAGAGGAACACATAATCAAGACTATGGCTAACAATCCCAGCCATTTGTTTATAATCAACTTTTAGATGCTGATACCTGCAATTGTGGTAGAAAGACAGACAAAAGAAGCAAATGAATTTTAACTCGCGGACAAGGAGGTAGAGGAACCTTTACATCCATGCTCAAGCTCGACAAGTTCGAAAGGCAAACTTTCAAAATTTGAACAGCGCATCGTGATCTCACAATTTCTATAGTCTAGGTGATGATGTGGAAATGGATTGTGTTGACGTTACGGATTGGGGAATCGGTTAATCTCAAAAATAAACCACCTATACAAGACCATTCTCTCGAAAATTAGTTAAACGTTAATGCACCTATCGTTTGCGTCACAGTGGGTATAATTCAGACCTACCATTTTTTTTATTTTCGTCAGTTGAGTTACAGCAACGAGCACACTCATAACGCAACAGGCATTCCTTCAAAGACGTCAATTTCAGCGCGACATAGGAAAAGCTGTTTTAGTCTTATTGAAATAGTTGCAAAGTGTAATCGTTGTCGGAGAATGATTGAAATGAGTTAGTGGAAAATAAAATTGAATTATGCATTAAAGTTTCGATCAATTGATGACTGCAGTGGGGAAATGTAGGTCCTAAACAAATATGGTAAAGTGAGTAAATATGCTTTGTACAAATAATTAATGCCAACATTTTCAAGTAAATTCAATGTTCAATGTGCCTTCACATTAATTTGATATTTTATAATTTCACTTCCCAACGGTATAAGGGCGAGATAG